GTAATAAATATACAGCGAAAACTTTCACGAACCATTGGTGGTTTTGCAGTCGGTTTGCTAGGGAAGGGTGCGAGTATCGTCGGAATATAAATGATGAAGCTTACTTTATTGCCAAGTCAATGTTATACGTACAGCCGTTGTGTGTATTGTGTGGTTTTTTTTTTTCTGTTTAAACATATCGTTTCTCTCGAAATACCGATAAAACAATACAACAATTCGACGTTGTAAGTAAACGTTAACTATTTCGACTTGTTTACAGCGTCGTACACGTAATTATCGTGATAATTGTTTCGTTTTACCGGTTCACGAATTACAATCTCATTTCTTTAGGCAAAGGGGGTCTCGAACTTTGTCTCAAATTTACAACAATTTAATTATATCCAGGAAATACTATGATTTCATATTTTCTCCTTTACTTTTTTTTTTTTTAAAAAAAAAAAGTTTATTAACAGCTTATAATAATAATAATAATCGATTACCGATGTTTTAAAAAAACAAATATATCGCGATCGCCGCATTTAAAGGTTCCCGATGTAGGCTCTAATATACCCTAACATAAACTAAAAACTGCTCTGATCACGACCATGCGCGTTGTTGATTGCTTTTCGAGTCGGGGCGAAGTTACCGCCTCGGGCCGAACCGCACAGCGTTGAAAACGGTTCGGGAAAAAATTCGACTGAACGCGATCGCACACCGCTTGCGTAGGATATCGTCGCGCGGACAACCCGGTCGAGTGATTTGTCTACGAACAACGAGACGGTCCGTTTACCGTCCGGGCCGCGGAAAGGTTTCTGTTTTCGGCATGGTAGGCTTAAATCATTCGTATGTAAATCACACGACTTTGAGACGATATCAACCACCAACTCAAGACGAGTTAAGAGCTTGGTGACGCAAAAGTCGGGTATCCACCTGGTGATGGGTGTGATATCGTGTAGCGAGTTTTGACGACGGTTTTACCGAGTGGATTTACGGTACGGCGATGAAACGCGTTGCTCGCGGAAGCGGCCCGGGCTCTTGGATCGAGAATATCGGTTTCGCGGGGCAGTGGCGTGCGGTCGATATATCGTTACCGTGGTTGTGAAAACTTACGACTTTCGAACACGAGCGGAGTACCGCTCGCGCAATCCGGTCGGCTATTTTACCTCCACAGAGAGAGAGAAAGGGTGACGAATGATGATGGTGATCGAGACAGCATGTGCTCAGCGGGAAAAATAAACGGTGGCGGTCGGAAAACCTGTTGCTGCGCTATCCGAAGCAGTAGTCGTCGAACGGCTACGAGACGACGCGATCACCGCACCGAGGACACGTCATGTTTTTCACCGTCGGATATACGCACTCGCTTTCGATTTCCGTTTTAGGCTCATCCCGTCGTCGTGATTTCAACGGTTGCGTTTTTCGAGTGGGCACCCCGTGTGTGTTGTGTGTACCTAGTGTCTATGTGCGTGAAAATATAATTCGCGTGTGCGTGCGACGAGACGGGATGAAGTGTGACCCGGCGGCGTCGTTCGTATCTGGTCGCGCGTGCTAATGAAAGCTATTAAAATACGAGCAATGAGCTCTTTTTCGTTTTCTCTTTCACGCCCGCACGCGCCCGTTCCTTCTTCCTTTTTTCCCCCGTCGTTTTTCTTCTCTTCTCCGCCTCCACTGCTTTCGGCTCGCCCGCCCAATTTTTTCCCCTTTTATTCTCTGCCCGAACTCGCAACACCCATTCGACTGGCGCGCGCACGCCCGGCCACGTCCCTTCGATTCCCCGTTTTCTTCCTTCCCCCCCCCCGACCCCGCGCACGCATGACGTCCTCCGAGTTTTTTCTTCTAACATACCCTCTTTCCGCCCACTCCGAACGCGACTCACTACCGGTGCGCGGCCAACCCGCTGCCGTTACCACCGCCGACACCTGGCCGGCTTCGCTGCTAATCACCGTTATTCGACGATAATAATATGTATCGCGAGTCACCCCCTCACACGATTTAACGCCAAAACAAATAATAGTTATAGAAATTACATTAATAATGTGGGCGGGGAAGGGAACGACGGCTTTTAGCGGTCGCCGATCATCAGGATCTGATCAGCCGTATGCGCTACGATGCAATTCGTGTGGTAAAAAAAAAAAAAAAATAATAAACCACCGAGGACAACGAAATTTAAAAGTGTGTGATAAAATATCTATCATCGATTGAGTCATTGAAAAATGTTTTCCCGTTACGCAGAAAAATATCGTCGAATGGAGTCGGTTGTTCGAACTAAAAGCAAACGAATTCACATCATTTCTATCGTATTCTACTGTACGTTTAAATCAGTTTTCAGGAGAAACGATCGAAACCGTCGACGGTCCTGTCGTATTCGGCACCGCAAAGCCCGTCACGGGCTCTGCAAACATTTCGCAATTCTCAGCGTGCAGTTGCGATTAACGGAACGTTTTAGACACGCTGCTACACGGTCATCGGCGGCGATAAGGTGCTGAGGAACCGGAGAGGCCGCGATGTCGCAGGAGTTAACATCCGGTGCGATAAGTACACGTATGATCAGTCGGTTTCGTACGTGTGCCTAGGAGGAGAACAACAAGTGGTGGAGGAGAAGAAAAAAGAAAAAAAAACCCCAATAGGAAACCTGTGCAGGAAATTCCACACGCTCCGCGCCGTTGATCGAAAAAAAACTCTCCCGTCACCAACGACTGCTTGTGTTTTTTTTTTCACATTCGTCAACACGCACGTACGAGTGGGATTTACTATGCGCGTCGGAGACCACAATGAGTCTCTTGTGTAGACGAATCCTTTTTTTTTTTTTTTTTCATGCATTTACAATAAATGAAAGGAGAACGTTGGAATCGTGAATCGCGCGCTTGGTCCGGGCGATTATTTTTAAAATTTGATATCTTATGCGTGTAAAAATTACGAAAAATAATCGAAAATTGTATCAACTATCAACATTTTCAATACGAAAATTATGTTATAAAACTAATATGATACCATAGTGTAACCGTGAACGACTGCTTTTTACTCGATCCCGTTCTCAATATTAAGTTCGATATTGTTTACTTAAAATTAATAATAGTATGTTATATAATTTTTTTTGAAAATAATTTTATCTCAATATTCGCTATGATTGTAAAATCGAAGCGGTTTAAGTACTTAATTTGATTAGAGTACCGTATTTTCCTAGAGAAATGTCATCGCCGTAAGACAGATGATCGCAACACGATCTTGTTGAACTCTCTTCAAATGTATAACACGAACTCCGTACATCATATACCATTCTTAAGGAAAAAAAAGGATTTTGTGAAGTTATGTAAATAAATTACATTTTAAACAATATGAAATGTGTAAACAATGCCATTACGTGTTTAAAACTGGTTTTACAATAATAAGTTATCTCAGTTTAACCTTAGTCAATATTTGAAATAATATTATTTCTAAAATTCCGGCATCGTGAAATATAAATCCATATGCATCGTATATTATCTATGATTTTTAACATTCAACAATTATTGACTTATGCATCAATCGCGTATGATGCATTTTGCATTTTCAACAGAAAACCGTATCAACAACCGTGTGCATACATTAATCAAACAATGCGAACTGCCGTTTTATTAAACATTAATTAAACACGCATTTCATAAATTCAATTATTTTCAATGTATTTTCTACATGCGTAGGTTAATTTATTAATTCATTTTTAAAAAATAGTGGTAAACAAGGTAAACATATTTGAGAACAAATATTAGTTTTTATTATGTTTAACGAAAAAATTAAATTTAACATTATTTGTACAGAATAATCCGCGTTTAGGGGTGTATATATTATTTGGATTTGTTCATATATATGTATGTTTAATTTATCAAATCGAATTAAAAAAAATTGATAGTAAAATCACGTTTGAGTGTGAATTTTTTTTTTTTATAAAACATAATTTCTTCAAAAAATTAACAGCAGTTTAAATAAAAATTATTCTTTGAAATAGGTAAATATATTATATTATTTGTATTTTATTTAAATGGTAAAAATTGTCTTACATCATAAAAGTTGCAAATTTAAACGCGCAGAAGTATTCAAAAAGTTCACTTTTTCTCTTATAATTGTACCGATTTATTAATATCTACATTGTTCGTGTTTTATTTCGAATCGATCTATTCGTAAGTTTTATGATTAACTAAGATCGTACATGGTTTTTTGCAACAATAATTAATCACATGGTTTTTTCGTTATAGAATCAATAAAAAGTTATGCGAAACGTTAGTTTTTTAAATAGAGAATGATATATTGAAAAAATGTCACCTTTGCGATTATTATGTTGATCGAAGGGTACTAAAATATAATATCAGTTTTCTCATTGAAAAGTTTCTGAAAGATACGTTGACGGACATTTTTCGTATAGAACGTTCAAAGTTGATGATCAGGTAAATACGCACACGTATTTCAAATGTTCCCGCGAATACCCTTTTTTGGCGGGAAATTTCAGTTCACTACTCCCAACGTGTTAAATCTTCGACACTAAGGATTCGCTATTTTATTTTGTTTCAATATTTTTTTATTTTTTTTTTCCAATCAGAAATTATTAAACTAACAGATATCATAACCATTAACATAATCCTATCTAAACACATTGCAACAATAAGCAGTATTAAATTATTATTGCTTCATTCGTTCGATGCACGTCGAAGTGAAATAATAATGTGTCTAATTAGTTTTTAATAACGATTTCAGTAAACAAACTCGATGTTTTCTGGTAAATAAAATAATTTTAGTGTTATTCGATTGATATTAGTAAGTCGGTTAAACGCAGTGTATGGCACTGTGGTAAGAAATCAGCGCACGGTTAGTCACAAATATTCCCATGCTCGTCAAAAACAATAAATCACCGCAGGTAAGGTGCAACGAATCTGATGGAAACGTGCAAGAAAACGATTTCCCGTCGAATAACGTATGGCAAACGCGTATAAAACGCTCGCCTAAAACGTACCGATCCAACACCTATGGAGTATCGTGAAAAAAATTCTTACCCCGTTTTGAGACACGTCGATCACTTCTAAGTCCGGGCGGCGATCGATCATTTTCAATATCGGCTGGGATCGGAGGTGCAGGTGGTGAGTATCCGGGAGGAGGAGATGATCCGGACTACGAGAACGGATTTCGAAACGGTGTCGCGCAGCGCGTTATTACGGCCGGAAGAGCCGAAAACGAACGAATGTCCGGACGATCGTCAACCCGTCGGCCGGTGAACATGTCGCGGTCGGCCACGTAACATAATAATAACAATAATAACAATATTGTCGCGCGGTGCAGCACCGACACGCGAACGCACGAACGCACGCGGTCCACTCGCGGTCGTAAAAAAGCGCAACGCGTGTGTTAAACGATCGGGAGAATCGTTGTCGGGCGCCGGTTTCCGATCTACCTAAAGATGCTGGCGCGGTTTTCGTCGTCTATTGTCGACCGTTTTTCGCGTCTCGGAAATGGGAAGAGAGAGAAAAAAAAAATAACGAATACGTTACGAACCGAACAGCGAAACACCTCCGTCCGCGGAAGACGCACGTTAGCGTGTGCCGAGGGGCAGCGGCATGTGACGGTCTTAACGCGGCGACTGGTGGTGTGCGTGCGCGGCGTACGCGCGCGTGTGTGCGTGTACGCGGTCGGGCGCGTGCGCGTGTGTCCGTGCGCGCGTATGTGTACCGTGTATTTGCATGCGACCGCCCTCCTCCACACCCTCTCCCCCGGGACTCTACCCCCCACCCGTCGCTCTTCGCGCGTTACGCCGCCGCCGCCGCGCGACCACCTCCTCGCGCGCGCCACTAACGCCGTCTCGGCGGCGGCGGCGGCGGCGGCGGCGGTCCGACTACGCGCTATATCATAAGTTCCCGGTGCGAAACGTCTTGAAGGGTCGGCTGACCCGTCGCGGCCACCGTACCGCGACAACGTGTACGACAACAGCGTACGATAATCGCAACTAAGATTGGGCCCCGCCGACGCGTTCTCGGCTGACGTTTTCGCGGCGGTCTCTCGTAACTCCGTTTTTTCGGGCACCGATCGGTTACGCGGCCAAGACCGTCGTCTGCCGCGGCGGCTCGAAAAGACGCGATTCCGTCGACGGGAAACGAGCGGCGGTGGTTACCGTTTGGACGGGTTTCACTTGGTAGGAAAACAAAAACAATTCTAAATTTACGAGCACTCGTGTAACGCTTCCGAAAGTTGATCGACGAGTTCGAAACACGACGGTGCACGTCACAACACTGGAAGCGTGAACGTCAACGGGATCGTTGTAGTCTAGTCGACGGGTTTCGCGTCCTCCGGGTCGTACCGATGACGGCCACCGGAAGGTCCTTTTCGTACTGGTGTAAAATCGACTTCCCGGTCTCGCGACCGTTATGAGAAATACCGCGTCGCTCCCATTGCCCCTACTGGGAATTTTTGTTTCAAAACTATCGTTAATTTAATACCGCGCGTATTAATAACAATTTTATTGCGATCCGTTTATGGAATTTAGTAAAATTTATTATATTTTTAGATAATCTAAAATGTATAATCTCGAACGTATTCATTAATTTACAATGTTCACACACTACTGCATATCGCTTAAAACTATAAATTCTCCAGAGTACCTATATCTTTGGTATTTGATTTTGTTCTCGTCTATTTTCAGATACCCGTTGTTTTGGCCCTTTTTAATCTTACCCCGGGATTTTATCCTGCGGTCGCTCTCGCCACCGACAACAGGGTTTTGAATTTTTCGCACCCGCACGCCGGACGAAACCGAACCGTTGCAGTTAAACGTACACTTGGTCCGCAACAATACGTGTTGCGTGTGTAAACCGCGTCGGCATCAGTCCGCTGCGAACGTTAACTATCATAGCGACGTACGTGGTCAACAAGAATTGGTTTCGCACGATTTCCATCGTGACGCGTTTACGCGGTTCTTTTCGTAGTCGTCCGCGATCGAATCCCCGTGTTCGTACACCTTGCAAAGTTATCCGGTCCTACATTGTCCGTTGCTTAGAGCAAACGTTACAGGATGTGTGGTCATCCGGTCATGAACGACACTAGCGCGTGCTCGAAACGACAAACGAATCGAACGGTAACATTCGGATATGCACACCGATCCGTACATAATAATACTTGCATACAATCGTTAGCGGATAAATGCGAATAAACGCGCGACCAACGATCGAACCGAAATATTAATTATAATACGATTGATGCTCAGACGTAACCGTCGCACCGGTAGAACGTGATTCGTCAAGAACATATGGACTTCGCAAAATATAAAATATTATGTAAAGAACCAAAATAACAAAATGTACGAACGCCTTTCGCTGTACGAGAAAACCCATTCGTTCAAAAACTGCGTACTTAAAATGTTTGACAGAAAAATAACTGTCATTTCATTCAAAATTGTTTTTTTTTTCTTTGAATACTCCTATACTACTATATATTGTCATTCTTCTTTGTAAAGTTACTAAAACCATGATCGACGGCCGCATAGCTGTACCGGAGACCGGTCACATACGTGTTATGTATCACGTTTCGCGCGAAGTACAAACATAACCGAAGTATATATAAACTTTTAACATATAAGACGTCTAGAAAAGATTAAAATAACAAAATTGTATTTCCAAGTTTTTCACAACTTATTAAACATTAATTTATGTGATTTTTGACCGATTCGTAAACAAATATAATGATAATATAGAACCTTTTAAATGTGACCACATTGTATTTAATAAATTAATTTCATTATATCGTGAGACGCCTATAAAATTACTTTTACCAATTTTACTGAAAATATTATAGTAACTATTGTCAATAAGTGTGGTCAACGATATGTATATATATTTTTCCGCTGTTGTTTTTATTTCAGTAATATTTATATTCTTTTTGTTTTCATTTAAGAGGTTTTCAAAACAAAAATAACATGGTTTGTATTACAAGTCTTTATTTTTTATTTTTCATCACGACCAATTCAAAGGTCTTTTTTTTTTCACCGTAGTAAATAATATAATATTTAACGAATATATGTAATCCACTATTATATTATTATATCCGTTTAAGACTGTGAGTTCTCGGAAATTTAATAATGCAATATCAAGTAACGTCAACAGTTTGATTATTAGTAAACGAATGTACGTATGGTACTGTGAAACAATTATTGTTATTTTAACAAAAAATATCCACAAAAATAAAAATAAAAATTATAGAACTTGTTCGATTGAATATGGAAATGGTAAAAATTATTCCACATCCGTGTGACTTTCACAAAACTATCACATCATTCTCGACATCGGTACATTACAATATATTGTTTAAGAATATGTCATCACCTAAGTCGTTAGTGTTTTATTCGTAAGTTTTGGCGTGAGTACTGACAGGTTAAGGGTTATTCTATCCTTTATGGTTAATATTTTAGTGGACCAAACGCCGTACAATATAATTGTTAGCGTATTATAATCAAATTACATATTATATTAATCAAAGTACCGATACCTATACATACATACATACCGATACATTGTACAAATAACAAACACGTGTGTGTGTGAGTGTGTGTGTGTGTGTGTGTGTGTGTGTGTGTGTGTGTGTGTGTGTAGCGCACGCATGAATGTGAGCTAGAAGCATATTTACAAGCAGAAAGTAAATCGTATACAACATAATAGTGCGAGTGAATATGATGATTTGAAAAATAATGTTTGTCCTTCCCTAAAAAAGTATCCACCAAGTACGTCACACAGTTTTGAGTTAAATTTTAATAACTTTTTTGGTTTGAACAAGACAAGTGCAATTATTGTTTTAATTATAGTCTAAAACTAATAGTCCATATAATTCACAGGTTTATATTCTGTTTATAACATAAACTTAAACATATTTAAAGTAAACTACATAATTTACATGTTAGTCATCATACATTTGTACCAAAATCATCCGATTATTTAACATTTTATTGAATGCATATATTTTACGATCTAAAAATAAATAGGCCATTTTATTACTTCAAATGGCATCGAACACGAACGTACGAGACGTGTAATGATATTGGTACCTACCGTAGAATGGAGGAAGTATATTCGTAAGCAGAGTTTTTAGTTCTTAATAATGCTAAATATCAATACTCTCCCTTTGTGCGACCACACTGTGCCCACTTCTCTTTTTCCCTATCCAATCTACCACTCGGGGCCCTTGCGAAACGTGATTATAACGATTTCTTAAAATCGGGCTGGGTATGCGGGGGTGCGTGTAGCCTTTAAAAAGATGATAATATTGATCTTTTTTTTACATTAAAAAAAAAAAAAAAGTAAAAGTAAAACTAACGGGGGTGAAGTGTTATGATGACTGAGGGGTGAGTAGGACTGTAGCGCGGTCGGGCAAATTATAAGTTGACGAGGGTGTATATGTTTGTGAGTGCCTGTGTGTGTGTATATGTATATACACGTTCCCGTGTATGCACTCGCGTGTGTGCGCGTGTGTGTGTATGCATTGTCTTTCCACTACCCCACCCCACACTTCACGCTCTTCTCCACACAGGTCCGAACTCTGTTTTCTCTTCCCCTTTTTTTCCACCCCGCTATTTCTTATTATATTCCTCTCATTTGTTACCGAACCCCCTTTCTTATTTAGCCCTAAAAAAACCCTCCGTGCAGTTCGTGTGTTAAAGCATCGTCGTCGCGTTCTGCCTCTCTGCAGCAGTGCGACAGCATATTTTATAATAAAGCGCACTCGTAATCTGGGGAAAAAAATAATGAAAACAACCAATAATAATAGTAATAATAACTGAAATTATCAAATGCTATTTCTAAACCAAACGTAAATAATACATTAAGTATTTAAGTCAATGTTGCTGAAACTCGGCTATAATTAAATAATCATGTATGCTAATATATTCGTTGTAACAAATTCCTATAAACCGTTGATGAAACAAAAAAGAGCAATTTAATGAAACATGTTCGAGTATAATATTTTCTAATACCATTGCAAATTATATCGTCGTATATTTTGTATTCTGACCATTTCATCTAAGGTGATTCATAAAAAAAAAAAAAAATTAAGTATCCAAGAAATGAATCCGTTCTTGATATTATAATATGAAATTATTTTGTTAGACTATTAAAATAATTGTATTTGTCTATGTTCGATAAATATTTAATAAAAACAAAAAACATCTTTAAAACATAAAAAAATACATAACTATTGAAGAGTCATAATAAATTTAAAATTTTACTCGTTTTGTAGAAATAAGGTAGGTGTTACAAAAATATTTTAAGGTTATGAATGATGTTTAGTAAAATTGTTTGCATCTAACTCAAATTAAAAATCACAAACATATATATTATCATTAATAGATATTTCTCCTATTTTTTAACAAACATACGATACACTTTTATAAGAGATTCAGTTGAAAATAATAATGATAATCATAGTTATTACTTTTACTTGCGCACCACAATGAGAGCATTAACATATGTACCTAAACTAAAATTATTGTAACTCGCAAAATAAGTGATTCGACGTAATTACTTAAATGTCTCGACTTCAACTAAATTACTTTGGTAGATTACGTGTACCCTATATGCATTGCAATAGGTTTGCAT